TGGAGGAAAAGAGTCTCCTCAGTGTTTACTCGACCATCAGATCGAAATCCCATTCTCAAAGTAGTCTCTCAGGCTTCGCCACCGCCGATGTGCCCAGCTACACGTGGTTGCCAGACGACTTGCGAAAAAAAATTGTTGAGAGCTGTGAGGACGTCAGAACTCGCCAGGGTTATCCTGTAATCGACTGGCTCCGTCAAATTCGATCCAACTGTGATTTCTGTGAAGTTGGAATTACGAGTGACAGTCATCAGACAACATCGTTCCTCGATGATGGCACAGACACTGATTACATAGAGTCAGTAGCCTCAATAGCCGACGAATCAATTGAACTGGATGACATCACTGAAAATCCGGAGGTTGTGTGTAAATATTACGATGATATTGTCGCCTGCTGTGAAGAGGAAATATCGTCTCACATTTATGACGAATTGCCGTGTGATAACACCAGCGAAGGCGAGTTCACGAGTTCCGTTAATACAAGTAATCTAGAGGCTCATGTTATGGGTGAGAATTTCAGTGAGAGTGAAAATATTCAGGGACGAGTCATGAATCCCAGGATGGTCTGCTGTGTGGAGTTGATACAGAACGAGAAAGGGTTTTACTCCGAGAAGTTTGGAAATGATTCGACGGAGGAACTGCCTGATCTTGCGCTTGTTAATGATGATAATTGTGCGCTGAAATCGTGTGAGAGGTTTCTGGAAGACGCTACCAGTGACTTCGGGGAATTTCAGAGACATTTTCCGGAGGATATGATCAGGTTTTGTGGGAACAGTGAGGACAATTGTGGTGGAGGTGCTCCTGAGAGTTGCGATGGAAACTATTTGGCTGAGTGTGAAATTGAATTGGAGAATGTTTGCGCAAGTTCTGGGGGTGGGGCAAAATGCTGCGAATTTTCCGGGGAAAATCGCGATTTTTGCGTCACTGATGGGGAGAATAATCTCGCATTGGCCAATGGAAAGGGCAATTTCAATGTTAGTTTCTCGGAGTGGACTGAGACATTCAATAATTTTGATGATGTACATGAGATCGATGAGGTGGAGTACGACGAGGTGGCGTCTTCCGATGAATTGTTGTACGATTCTTGCAATAACTCGGGGAATATTGACGTCGAGGACACGGACTACAAGTACTTTGGATCGGAGAGTTTGAGTCAGCAGGGACTGATACCAGAGTGCGACGAGGAGAGCTCGTTTGAGGATAATGGAGAACATATTTATGAGAATTTGTGGGGGGCTAATGAGGGATTTTGCGTGGATGATGGGTCGTCTTCGCCTTCGGGGGGGACTAGAACCTCGGACTTTTGCTCGCCTGATTTTGAAGGACACAGAGGGATTGACGAGGTGGAGAGGGAGGAGGTGACCGAGTTTAGGAGGCGAAAGGGATCCGCAGCGAGTGATATCGTGATGTGGAAGAATCTATTGCTTATGAGCTGCGATGATGAGGATGATTTTCAGAAGGTATTTTTGGGATTAGTTGAATTATTTTTTCATAAGAGGGGTAGAGTGTGATGAGCCGACTTATTACATCCTGTCACGAAGAGATAAAATAATTGATTTTTTAGGGATGTATCTGTAATTTTTAGGGAACCGCAATATTCAGCAACAAAAAGTCTGAAAATCAGACAGAAATGGTTTGATTTTCAGGAGTATTCGCATCCAGTCAAAATAAATTTTTCATTGGAATTTAACAGCATTGGCCTGTACTTCCAAGAATTATTTCGTTTGAATTTAAGTACCTGTGCTTCCTAGAATTGATGTATTTCATTCGAAGAACGTAAACAAATAATAATAATAATAATAATAATAAACAAAGTTGTTTCTTACACATGACAGGAAAGTTGGATAAAAATTAGCTAGAAAATCGCGGAAAATTTGACTGTAGGAACGGTACACAGAGAAAAATATGTTTAAATAATGTCTAAAAAATAAGAATTCTGTGCTAAATGTAATTTGAATGGCACTGAATATTCATGATTTTTTTTCAAATTTTTCTCACGCGATTTTATTGACAAATTTGATGATTGAAAATGCTTGAATCTATAGTTCGATCTGTACCGAATTGTAGAAGATACTTGGATATCCTTAATGCCGACGATAATTCTAGTTATTATTGAAAGACATTAAAAATTAGAAATGAATTCCCTAATTTTTGGGATGCATTTCTAAAAATCAGAGACATATCACTGAAAACTAAAACTTTTCTTTCTCTGAGTAATTATAAAAATAACTCGGAAATGCGGGACTCTGAGAGGAAATGCCATGCGATTTCTCTGTAGGAAAATGTTTTCAACTATCAAAAAAGCTTTTATAATTTTTTTTCTGGGTTATTACAACATTACAAACTTTTCCTTCGAGAATTGGAGCAAATACGATGTTTGGAACAGAAAAGTATTGGGAAATAGTTGAGGAAGAGTCTAAAAGTCAGAGAATAATCATTTTTTATAGCAAAACCGCGAAAATCAAGAGAGAATCTCACAATTTTTGGAGGAATTCATAGGATTCTAAAGAAAAAATTCAAAATATCTGTAGACTGCATGAAATATCCTATGAAATTGTCTTCCCATTTTTTTTTTACTACAGAAAATCTTCAGGAAATGATTAAAAAATATGTTTTGGGCGTAGGGAATTCTATCCGTCCAGTGGATACCGCTGTCTTTCCTCTTATTTATTCTACGAAGCCCTGGAATGAAGAGGGGAACCCAATCTGTCATAAAAAACCGCACATATGCGCTGTGATCATGATACTTATTCCCATAGGGTATTTTTAAACTCTGAAAGAAATCATTACATTAATTCCGCTTTGAAAAAATGGGCCGAAATTTAATTCTCATACGTGCAAAATTTGATTAACGTGGAAATTGCATAATTTGCTGTCACTCTGTGATGGAACTGTTAATGTAGAACAGGAGTGGTATAACGATTTGAGTTGACGTGATTCATCTTGTTAATCACAAAATGTTCTCGGTAAATGAGTGATGCTAGGAGAAATCATCAAGGGACTTTTCATAGAAGATTTATTGCGCAACAAAAAAAGGAGATTGACACTCTTTTTGGGGAAGTATATGTTATACTCATTTGAAAGACTTGAGTTGTACACGGAGAGTAAAGTTGAATAAAAACTATCTAGAAAATCGCAGGAAATTTTACTATACACCGAGAGAAAAATTAGTTCTGCCAAAAAATTATATGTTCCACTTGAGAATATTTGATCGAGTGGAACAGATTCACTTCAGGGAAATTAATCAACCTGATGGAAGAAAATTTAAAATCTTCCACAAAATTTAGATTCTTGTCATGTCATGACAAAAAAATGACTTACTTATTTAAATCTAAATGACTTTCTTAATTTATGGCATTCTGATAAGTTATTGAGTTTTTCTATCCTCATATATTGTTGACACAGGCAACAAAAAGTAACTGTTTGAATCAAATGAGAAACTATTTGTTAATTAATTATTTGAACTAAATAAGAAATGCTTCCACGAAATTTCCTTTTTTCAGAGTTCAATATCGCAGAAACTATGTAATACAAAATTATACAAAAAATTCACCGTATTCGGAATTTATCAGTTTACCACGAATTAGTTTTTTACAAACATCGTAAGAACCTTTTTTTCATAAAATTGAAAAATCGAGTTGGCGGGAGGGGGGGGGGGCATAACCCTCGCTTGGCCTATGCCTCGCGTGTTAGAAGCCCCCATTTCATTATTTATTATCTCCTAAACTGTGTAGTACAGCTAGTTAGAATTTTTTTCAATAACAAGAGACTATTATAAACATTATCCATGAAAATCATGGGAACAATCTTAAGAAAACGTGTTTTCGAGGGATATACCTTTATGATACGAATTGTGTAAAGAGGCTCTAAGATGATAATCGTTTGCTCTGATGCGATTTACGTTGACAATAGCTTCTCTAGATAGTTTATATTTTTTGCACCAGGGTTTTGGAGAATTTTTATAATGCAGTTCAAAGTATTTGGCACCTTTTTTCTTATTGTTATTTGTGGCTTGAGTCAAGATTTTATTTGTTGTGCTAGTGATTTTGTCGGATTTAAAATACTTTCTGAAATCTGAATATGGAATGGGAAAGTGGTCAGGTATATAATCTGTCGCATTAGTCGCTAAGCTTCTTCATTTCCCTCAATACCACAATGATGTCATAACACTGAAACTTGCTAATCTTTGATGACTTTCCGAAATTGAAAAATACTTATTTGATATTTTTCATTCAATTTTGTTATTTCATGATTTCATTCAATAAAAATTACATGCATTAATCCAATTAGCTCAATTATCGTTGATGCCAATGCCCTTGGTCAGCCAAAAAGAAAGTCAGAATTCTGGAGAATTTTCTCGCTGATAATTCTAGATAATAAAAAAAGTAATGAAGATCGAAACATTTCTCTCTATATAAATAACAAAATAAGCCGAAAAATTCAGGGGACGCTT